ATGCATGACATATATGTGCAATTTACAAGTCAACTTGAAATTAGTTGGCCACTCTTTCTCACAAGAATCTTAGTTGGTATAGTTTTCTATTTCTCTATCACACAGTTGATTTTAAAGTAACAAATAATACTAATTTGATAAAAGAATCATACTGGTAACCAAGTTAAATAACTACCAAAAGCACCAAAGCTAAGACTATTTGTTGAAATTATAAAAACTGTCTGTGTGTTGGTGACATATGATAACACTGGGGCCCTTATTTCTACTGAATGGGAAAGAATCTCTTTTAAAATAGATATAATCTATATGGGAAGTAGAAAGTAGAAAAAGACAAGATCTCCTGAGTAATTTGGGAGTATGGGGACCTTGGTGGAGGGTTGAAGGGGAGATTGGAGAGGCAGGAAGGAGAGCAGTGAAAAAATGTAGAACTCAATAAAATTCAATAAAAAATATACCCCAAAAAAGAGATTCTAACACAGGATCACCATGCGGTCATCTTTAACAAGTTCATGTTTGTCACAACGTGTTGAAAGCAGTGTTTGTCTTAGTGTCACATGCTCTCTCTTGTAGGGGTCTCCTATCTCCAAATCTTCAGATGAGAATATTTACCTGTGTAAACTACAGATATCAGGATAGCAAAATGGCCCATGGCCAAGATGGGGTTGATCGTAGGTAGCAACTAAGAGAGGAAGAAGAGGTTATAAGCGATCTTATCCGGGAAATGGGAAAGGGTGGGCTCTTTAGCAGGGAGGAGGGAAGTTCATATAGAAGGAGGTGGGAGGAAGGTACAGGGGAGTAGCAGGAGACCATTGATCTGATAGGGGAAATGGGAAAATGGGGGTTTCTTAGTTAAAGAAGAGGATATAAATACAGAAGATGGAATAGGTAGATAAAGTAACAAAGAATGGATGAAAAATCAGAGGAATCATACTATTAATGATTTAATCTCCACTACTGTCCTGCTGTGAAAAAAAGATGTTTGCCTTGATAGCTGGGTGTTTGTTCTTTAAACCAGAAGTAGAGTTCACACAAGTTTTAAATGGATGGGAAATAAACAGGGAGACATCTAGGAGCATTTATAACAATAATGGTTATAAAATTAATAGGGTGTGGAAAGTGCACTAATGGCCTTTAGCTGTATCATTGCCTTTAATTCCTGATTCTAGGGTGCTGAGTTAATTGAAAATAATAATAAATAGGCTAATTGAGATAGACATCCCACTGATTAACATGGTGGGATCATCATGAATTATCAACTCTGATTCCATCAGAATTATGAAAGAAAACATGGATAATTGTAAATTAGAGGTTATTAAAATTATGGAATATAAAACTGGCTCACCTCACTCTTTTGGATTTTTTTTGTGATTTCTCCCCAGATCAACATAATGTTTAATCAGTTGTACAAATGTGATTATGCTCCTATATTCTCATCATTGCTGTTTCCAGTGTGAACTATAAAATGAGTCAATGTAAGTCAGATCAGTAGAATTTCATTTCTAAGGCATGAGGTCTAGGTACAATACAGGCACATGAAGTGTGCATTCTGTGTCGGCTGTGGCTGAGAATGCTGTATAGCCAGGAGATATATTGAGAGTATATAGAAACATGGGCCAAGTATAATGTGAAACTTTAATGAAAGAGATGGGTTGATCAAGAATAAATAGACAAAACAGAATGATAATGTAGACATACTGACCAGTGAATCAAAATTTGGTAAATACTCCATTATTTTTTTCAGATATTTGAAATGGGTCTCCACAATCATCTGCATTGGCATCTGGTGCCCTCTTGAGGAAAATACTGGGTCAGTCATCCTCATAAACATAGACCATGAAATCCAAGATGGACAAGGTCAACAGAACCACCATATACTGGCTGCCCATGCATGCTTCATCATTGCCAATGCATAAATATAAGTTTTTATTTCATGTTCTTAAGGTGAATAGAATTTCTACGTATGTCCTCATTAAGGATTGTCCTTAATTTCCTAGCTGGACTTGGAGTCCTGGCCAATATGTTTCTCCTTGTTTTCTACACTTTCATAATTCTAGGTCACAAACCTAAGCCCACGGACTTGATCTCCTGTCACCTGACCTTCATCCACATAGTGCTGCTCATCACTGGAGCAGATATTTGGCTTTGGGACATATTTGAGTCACTACACATTAAGAATGACTTCAAATGTAAGACATCGTCTTATATGAGCAGGGTGATGAGAGGCCTCTCCATCTGCATCACCTGCCTCCTGAGTGTGTTCCAAGCTGTCACTATCAGTCCCAGTTCCTCCTTGTTGGCAAAATTTAAAAATAAACTAAAAAAGTACATGATATCTTCTTTCTTATTTATTTGGTCTTTCAACTTGTCATTCAGTAGCTACCGAATCATCTATGCTGGTGCTTTTACTAATATGAGTGAGACCAACCAGATGAAGGTCACTGCATTCTGCTCACTCTTCTCCATGAACTACATCATCAGGGCACTGATTTTAACAGTGGCAATCTCCAGAGATGTATTTCTTGTAGGAGTTATGCTGACCACAAGTGCATACATGGTGATTATCTTGTTCAGGCATCAGAGACAACACAAGCATCTTCACAGCCTCAGCCACCCAAGAGCATCTCCTGAGAAAAGGGCCACACAGACCATCTTGCTGACGGTGGCTTTTTTTGTGGTCATGTACTGGGTAGACTTCATCATCTCATCCACCGCAGTTCTGTTATGGCTTTACTTCCCAATCATCCTGAGTGTTCAGAAGATTGTGATGAATGTCTATCTCACAATTGCTCCTTTGATACAAATTAATTCTGATAGCAGAATAATCAATATGCTAAAACAATGCAGTCTTTGTGCCACCATATTTTCAAAAAGAGATAATTTTCTCCTTTTTAATAAAACTATTTATTTATTGCTTTTATATTTATGAGTATTGTGTCAGCATATATTTATGTGTGAATTACAGTACACACAAGGTCAAAAGAGGCCATTTTCCCTTCTCCCTTGAGCTAAACATACAGACATGTTTGTGTAGCTTCATTCTGGTGCAGCCACAACTAATTTTTTCAAAAACTTATTCTTCTTAAACTCTGTGATAGTTCAAGGAGATAATAAAGATTCTTCATAATTTAAAATAATTGTGGTATTACACATGGACATTTTTGTGACATATTTGCTGCCAAGTGCTATAGATATTTTTACGTTCACCATATATCATGAGTTGAAATTTCCACAGGAATTCTCTTACTGTCTCCTCTTTACTTTATATCATAAATGTTCCCTGAAGCAGAGGTTACTCAAAAAAACCTCCTTGCTGATCCTTACTTTTACATTTTTCTTTTGAAGGGAATTTAATCTATTCTCAGCCATCAAAAATAGTTTAAATGTCCTATTGCAACTTTAATACTCTTTCCTAAGTGTAGTTTCTCTGGATCCACAAAAATCCTGTGAATTTAAATTTTCCCTTTTTACCACAGTACTTAATGAGTCTGAGTCTTATATGAAAATTCCATGTGTCTGTGTATTTGTACTTTATCAATACTGACATATTATTAGTAAAACAAAATTGTTTATATGTGATGTACAGTGTGTTTTTGTATACATGTGTATTCATGTGTGTGCACAGACGATTGATGCGTGTGCATGGGTATGTTGAGGCCAGGAGACATTTCCTGTTTTTCTTCAGAAGCCATTCACCTTGGTTTTGAAAATTTCTCTCAGTGACCTGGGGATTGCCTAATAGGGCAAGATTTTACTGTCTCTGTCTCTCCAGCTCGGGATTACAAGTGTGCAACACCACACTCCACTTAGTTTTTTCTTTTATTGATAATAAAAAAAAACCCTACTCTTTTTTTGCATAAAGTACACTTTAAATAGAGGTTCTCCTCCCTGTCACTTAGTTCCAAAAATGCTGGGCTTTGGTAGGGAAGGAAACCAGAGAAAACAAAGATCTTGTGAAGATGTAATTGAATGAGGGGCCATATCACAGCCCCAGAAAGCAGCAGAACTTGGCAGCTTTGGTCACATGGTTCTGGCTTTTTCTTTTTTAGAAAAGAGGTTATGGAATCTCCCTCTGCTGCTGAGGCCAGGCACAGGTGTCACCGCATGGAGGCCTACAGAGGCCATTGTGTGAAGCTGTGAAAGTCAAACCTGGATTGCCTCAGAGACCCCAGGCTGTTGGAGATGTCAGAGGCATGTGATACCTGCCGAGGAAAGCTGCTAACAGGGAGTGGAACCAGCCCAAGTGAGAGAAGTGTGATGTGGTTTTGATCTTAGCTATTCTGACCATTCTGGTGCAAGATGGTAGTTCAAAGTCATTTTGATTTGCCTTTCCCTGATGACTAAGGATGTTGAGCAATTCCTTAAATGTCTTTCATCCTTTTGAGTCTTTTCTGTTGAGAATTCTCTGTTTAGATCTGTGCCCCATTTTTTATTTGATTATTTTGTACTCTGATGTCTAATTTCTTGATTTCTTTATATACTTTGGAGATCAGCCCTCTGTCAGATGTGGTATTGGTGAAGATCTTTTCCCAATTGTAGGCTGTTTTTTTTTTTATCTTATTTATGGTATCCTTTGCCTTAAAGAAGATTTTCAATTTCAGGATGATCTATTTATTGATTGTTGTTCTTAGTGTCTCTGCAGCTGGTATTTTATTTAGGAAGTGATCTCCTGTGCCAATGCATTCAAGGCTAACTCCACTTCCTGTTCTATCAGGGTCAGTATACTTGGATTTATGTTGAGGTCTTTGATCCACTTGTACTTGAGTTTCATACATGGTGATAGACAAGGATATAATTACAATGTTCTATTGATGACATCCAGTTATGCCAGCACCATTGTTGAAGATGCTTTCTTTTTCCATTTTAGAGTTTTAGCTTCTTTTTCAAAAATCAGGGATTCATTGGTGTGGTTTAATGTCAAGGTCTTCAAATTGTTTCCACTGGTCCATGTGTCTGTTGTCTGTTTTTATGTGAAATCAGTTTTTTTTTAAACTATGGCTCTATAGTAGAGCTTGATGTCAGGGATGGTGATGTCTCTGGAAGTTCCTTTATAATAGGATTGTTTTAGCTGTTCTGTGTTTTTTTTTTCATATAGAGCTGAGTATTATTCTTTTGAATTCTGTGTGTTTTTGTTTTGGGGTTTTGATGGGGAATGCATTGAACCTGTCGATTGCTTTGGTAAAGTTGTCATTTTTATTACTTTAATCTTGCCTATACAAGAACATGGGAGATATTTCCCTTTCCTGATATCTTCTTCAACTTCTTTCTTCAAAGACTTAACATTCTTGTCATTTTGATTTTTCACTTGTTTTGTTAGAGCTGCTCCACAATATTTCATATTATTTGTGGCTGTTGTAAAGGGTGATGGTCTCTGAATCATTTTCTGCCTGTTTATCATTTGTATATAGGAGGGCTACAGTTTCTTTTTTCTTTTTTTGTACCATACTATATTACTGAAGGTATTTATCACCTGTAGGAATTCCATGATAGAATACTTGAAGTCACTTATGTGAGCTATAATTTAATTTGAGATAGCATAACTTTAACTTCTTTCTTTCCAATAACCCATTTACCTCCTTTTGTTGTCTTATTGTTCTACCTAGAACTTGAGTATCATATTGAATAGATGTGGAAATATTAGACAACCTTGTTTTGTACTGGATTTCAGTGAAATTGCTTTGACTTCATTTAATTTGATGTCATGCTGCTGGCGCCTTGTAAACTGTCTTTGTTAAGTTTGTTTCTTGTAGTACCGCTGTCACCAATCCCTTTATCATGAAAGGCTGTTGGATTTTGTCAAAGACCGTTTCAGCATCTAATGAGATGATTGTGTAATTTTTTTCTCTTAGTTTAGTTACAGAGTGGATTACATTGACAGATTTTCTATGTTAAACCATACCTGCATCTCTAGGATAAATCCAGGTGATCATTTTGTGTGTGTGTTCTTGGATTACATTCATTAATATTTTATTGAGTAATTTTTTTAATTTTTTATTTATTTATTAAAGGTTTTTTCTTTTTTCCGTTTATTTATTTATTAAAGATTTCTGTCTCTTCCCCGCCACCGCCTCCCATTTCCCTTCCCCTCCCCCAAACAAGTCCCCCTCCCTCGTCAGCCCAAAGAGCTATCAGGGTTCCCTGCCCTGTGGGAAGTCCAAGGACCACCCACCTCCATCGAGGTCTAGTAAGGTGAGAATCCAAACTGCCTAGGCTCCCACAAAGCCAATACGTGCAGTAGGATCAAAAACCCATTGCCAGAGTTTGTGGAAGATGGTGCCTGTTGTGACAGGGAAGTTTGGTGAGCGGCCTCCACCTAAGCGACTCACTAGAGAAGCTATGCGAAATTATTTAAAAGAACGTGGGGATCAAACAGTACTCATTCTTCACGCAAAAGTTGCGCAGAAGTCGTATGGAAATGAAAAACGATTTTTTTGCCCTCCTCCTTGTGTGTATCTTATGGGCAGTGGTTGGAAGAAAAAAAAAGAACAAATGGAAAGAGATGGTTGTTCGGAACAAGAGTCACAACCCTGTGCATTTATTGGGATAGGAAATAGTGACCAAGAAATGCAGCAGCTGAACTTGGAAGGGAAGAACTACTGCACAGCTAAAACATTGTACATATCTGATTCAGACAAGAGAAAGCATTTCATGTTGTCTGTAAAAATGTTCTATGGCAACAGTGATGACATTGGTGTGTTCCTCAGCAAGCGGATAAAAGTCATTTCCAAACCTTCCAAAAAGAAGCAGTCATTGAAAAATGCTGACTTGTGCATTGCCTCAGGAACAAAGGTGGCTTTGTTTAATCGGCTTAGATCCCAGTTAGTTAGTACCAGATACCTGCATGTAGAAGGAGGAAACTTCCATGCTAGTTCACAACAGTGGGGAGCATTTTATATTCATCTCTTGGATGATGATGAATCAGAAGGAGAGGAGTTCACAGTCCGAGATGGTTACATCCACTATGGACAGACTGTCAAACTTGTGTGCTCAGTTACTGGCATGGCACTCCCAAGATTGATAATTAGAAAAGTTGATAAGCAGACAGCATTACTGGATGCA